TCCTGTAGGCTCACCAAGAGTCCGAATCAACTGGATGGCAGTGAGCTAAGTTTTGTTTTGGCTTGGTCTCGAGGTAGGACCTGGGTGGTGTAAATGTTTAAGTGTTCAGCTACTAACCGAAAGACTGGGGGTCTGAGCCCACCCAGAGGTGCGTGCAAGGAAGACCTGTCCCAGTCTTGAGAACCTGACAGCATGCAGCTCAACTGTAACGTCAAGCATTGCCAGGAGACAGCGCCAGGGTTACGTGTTTTGGGCTGTCGGCTCACAGCAACTGGTACGCTGGGAAAGCAAGGGGAGCTGCTCACCTCCCTAGCACCTGTACGACAGCAGAACCTAAGTACGGAAAGACAGGCTCCCAGCGCCTCTTCTCATCGACCCATAACGAAATGTCCCAGCTCTCGTGCTCAGCACGCGCAAACACAACATTTGGAGAAAAAGCAGGCCCCCTGCCTCTCATGCGCCCGAGTCATTTGTTATCACCCAGAGGGCTGAGCGTCTTTATTCGGGGCATCGGTGAGTCCGGACAGCCCTTTATGATAGTGCCGACACATGTCCGTGACTGGGCTTTTCTTGGCAATGAGAACTGCAGGGTGTTGCCCCGAGAGGCCAGAGACGGAGCTGGTGTAGATTGCTTTCTAGTGCTTAGCACAGTTTGACGCTAAAGACAGATATTAAATCACCGTGTTTAGAAAAGATAAAACCACCATAGTGGAAAGAGTCCTGAGATGCTGGGGTGGGAGGCAGGGTTTCTGCTTAGAAGCCATGGGACCTTGGGCTCCTGGGATGGGCTTCGCTGCTTCTCCTTGGCCCCCTCTCTGGGTAACAGGGGCTCGAAGGGCTAGCAGGACCAGTAAGAATACGCTATGTGATAGTGCCTGGAGCAAGCAGCCTGGGAGGGGTAGAGGATGAACACCTAGCAAATATACATGGGGGATTTCTAACAACGGTGGTTACCAGACTGGCCGTTCTCAAAATAGACCAAACCTGCTTCCACTTCTTTGAGAGATGCAGACCGAACCCCACCCTCCAGTCCCCCTGGATTTATTTTTCAGATATCTGTCAATAGCGACTTATACCAAGTAGGAAAACCAGAAACTATTTGCCGCAGAGCTAAATCTGACTCACAGCGACCCCCGGGGTGCCAGGGTAGAACTGTGCCCCACAGGGTCGTTGGTCTAATTTTTGAAAGTAGATCACCAGGGCTTTCTTCCTGGATGCAGCTGAAGGTGCACTTGAGCCTCCAAGCTTCGGGGTGGCAGCTGAGCACATGACCCACCCGCACAAGGCAGGTGGGCCAGACAATTATAAAACTGCAAATGAAGCCAGAGTTTTCCAAATAGACGTAGACAGGGTGCTAATGAAATGGGCCCCCAGTTCTCACCCAGTCAAGTGGGAGGTGGTCCAGGCAGAGGCAGGTCTGAAAACTCTGAGCATTGCCTTCTCAGGAAGGCCCATCGGTGGACGTGTCCCCCTCCACAGCCCGTCTCCAGCCCAGACTCACAGTTTTGTGTTGAGTGGTCATCTCCTTGGCTGCGGCATCCAGGGCAGCCCGAGTCCGGGCGTTGATGCGTCCTGGGATGACCATGACCATCTTGCGCTGCTTGGCGGGGAGCTGGGCAAGGACGTCGGATTTGAGGCGCCGCAGCATGACCGCTTCCTCCAGGAGGAGCTTCAGCTCGCCGAGGTTGGAGGAGCCCGAGTAGTCCCACCCCCAGGGCAGCTGTGGAGAAGGGTACGAGGTGGGGTGAGAGTTCTCACAGGATGCTCCAATCCAATAGACCCACCATCCCCGAGCCCAGCTCTGGTCAGAGAACGGCATGCTCTACGTGGCCCACCCACCCACAGTGGGCGACCCTATCTGGCAGGACAGAACGACCCTGCAGGGTCTTCGGAGTCTGTGACTCTTCATGGGAACAGACAACCTCATTCTTCTTCTGGGGAGTGGCTAGTGGGTTTCAACTGCAGACCTTGTGGTGAGCAGCCTGGCACCTAACCCCCTATGCCACCAGGGCTCCTTCTAAGGATGCAATCAGCAGGAAAGTCCCAGTGAGCAGGGGAAAGGGACAGCAGGGGTCCCGAATGACGTGAACAAAACATGGATCAGGGAGTGTGGTGCACACATGATCGCATGTCAACCTGAAGATATCAGGAAGGGCAGGGGTGGCATTCCACCTGTCAGTCAGGTCACAGCCTGATGGTGCCTCCTTGTGGGCACGGCTTTCTCAAAAGGAGGGCCCAGGAACCTCCCTGAGATAGTTTATTGTGCCAGCCTGGCCGATAAACACAAGTGGGATTAACTGAAGGGCAGAGAGATAAATGGCCTGGTGAGTCTCGCCTTTCTTGTCTCTCGCTCTTTGAT